TTTCGCAATCTTTTATCCTCTTTGCAATCATACGTCACGTACAGTTTTTGTCAATCATATTCCTTGTTTCGAAACGATCTTTGCTTGATTTGTTAACTTTTAGTTGATAGCCATCTTCCACACATTTCGTATACAAATCTATCTTCAAGTCTTCCTTTGTATCAAAACAATCATCTTTCTTGATACGAATAATTTTTGTGTAACAATCAACTGCTATCTTTACTAACTCTTCTTCCGGTATATGAAGTAATTACGGCATATTCCAGTTATACTCCCGTGGCATTTTCTTCGGGGACTTTTCTTTGGGGATTTCTTCTTCTTCTTCTTCTTCAGTGTTATATGAATTACAGAATGGATGTTCAACATGTTCATTTACAGTCGTAACTTCCTCCTCATTATCATCAACAACATCTTCCTCGTCAACGGCTGTTTCATCATCAAAATTCGGGTATTGACCAATATCAAAATCATTACACGCAGGGTCTGTTTCTTCTTCTGAAAAATCATCAAAATCCGAGTATTGACCAAGATCAAAGTCCGGGTATTGACCAAGATCAAATTTCGAATACTGACTAGTACTCACAATTTTTTCTGTTGGCTCATCATCGTCTAACTGGTCAATACGAAAACCGGAATTTGGTGCTGAAAGTTGATTGGGATTTGGATTAGGGAAAGGTTGTGGGTTTTGAGATTGTGTTTGGTATTGGAAATGTGGTGAAACAATATTTGCTTGGTGATGAAATTGTGGTGGAACCATTAAATTTTGAGCACCATAAACTGGGGTTGAAAAACTTAGTTGATTACTACCCGCTACTGACCCAACTTCACTACTTCTAGGTTCAACAACATACAATGTAACATCATCACTTGAAACACTAATGTAAGCAATGAATAGTTCAACATCTTCATTGTCGGTTAACAAATAAACTTTACCATTTCTCTGATAAGATAGCCTAAATCCACTTAGGGGCTCTAAATTCAATTTATTTGTAACACGTAACATTAGAGTTTCATAAGTTAACTTTTTTAATGACAGTTTTAGTTGAAGATTCATGGGTAAAGACATATTTTGTAAAACACCATGAACATTCTCTCATGACCCTCCAAAACACAAATCTATCCAAACATGATCAACATTAGATGATTTCATTATTGTGAATTAATTTACTAAACAAACGAGCTGCGAAACTAAAACCTGTTGCCGGATGGAAAAGGATGTCGTTGGATATAGGAACGGATGTCGCCGGAGAGAGTGATAGATGGAGATGGAATGAGTTGTGATTTAGGGATTTAGGTTATGAGTTGCTGCTGCTGCGTAGTTATATACCCAAAACATTTGTGTTGCGAAACTAAAACCTGTTGCGAATTCAGAAATCGAGTTGCGAATTTGGAAAATCGCAATGCGATAGTCAGAATCGCGTTGCGAATCTGGAAACTGATTTGCGATACCGGAGATCGCGTTGCGAATTATCGATCGCATTACGATTTAGTTGGTCATTTTGGCAAATCCAAAAAAAGTTGGTTAAAATCGTATATTATAAGGCATCTTTGGCCACTAAGGTTATTTTCTCTTAATTCTATTATAAGTCTCACATAATTATATGTATTATTAGTTTTCTAAGTTTTATAGAATAAAATTTATAAATGATCATTAAATTATATGATTTTTTTAAACATTAAATTATCTAAAGTTATATAATAATATTAAATTTTGAATTTTATTATCATATGTAGGGTTGTAAATGAGACGTGACATATCGCGAGCTACTCGAGATTGACTCGATCAAGGCTCGATGAATACTTGGATCGAATGGACTCGACTCGAGCTCGACTCGAGCTCGACTCGAGTTCTTAACGAGCCGAAACAAGCTACTCGATATTCTATTCGAAAAGCTCGTGAGCAGCTCGAAAATATAATATATTAAGATTTTATTTTTTTAGAAATAAATTATTAATAATATTAATATTTATGTATTAATTTTTTTATAAAAAAAAATACAGTAAAATTTCTTGTATTTAAGGTTCATGTTCGAGTTTGAGGTTTCAATCGAGTTAAGTTTAATAATTTTTTTTCATTTCAAGCCTTTTCGAGCTGGTCACGAGCTTCAGTTTAAGATTTCGAGTTCGAGTCGAGCTTGAAAATTTTAAGCTCGCGAGTTTTCGAGTCGAGTCGAGCTCAGCAATACTCGAGCTCGACTCGGCTCGTTTACACCCCTAATCATATGGCACAACAACATTAATTATCATTAAACTATTATTAATTAATGAATCATACACCTCTCTTTTTTTAAACATTAATTATCATTAAACTATTATTAAATATGCAATTATGTAATACTTTTAATTTTTTAAATATATATTTTCATAATTTATTTTTATAATTATATGATATTTTTAGAAAATATTTAAACTTAAATCTAATAAAATATTATATTTAAACTTAAATAAAAATAAATATAAAATTTTAATAATATATAAAATAATTTATATGATATAAAATTAAATATCTATAACATAATATTAAAAATTAATATTTAATTTATTTAAAAAATTAATATTAAAATTAATATCTATAATATAATATTAAAAAATTAATATTTAATTTATTTAAAAAATTAATATTAAAATTAATATCTATAATATAAAATTAAATATAAAACTTCTTTGAAGAGGTTAGAAGATATCTGTAGACATAAGGTCACGTTTGCACCGCGCAGACCACGCGCAGACGTTAGAAGAGCTTTTGTCTTCTAAAAAACAAACGGTCTGCGAAGCTCAATGTCTGCGCGTGGTATGCGCGGCGCAGACATAAGAGCTTTGAAGACCTTACACAGTGAAAACAAACACCACCTTAAACACGGTCCTCGAAAAAGCGCTTTGTTCATATTTGTCGGGTAAATTACAATTTCGTCACTTAACTATACTTTCACTCTTATTTTACTCACTAAAGGTTTAACAAATTTTAATTTAATTATTAAACTTTTGAATTGTCCTTATTTTGATCACTTGATAATTAAACAATTAACGACTTTATGATGTGTAATGTGACATCAAAATGACATTGGTTTTAAAAATTAATTTTATATCAATACAATATCCTTTTAAAGTCGTATAAAATTATGTTTTTACTCTTTATTTTCTATTCCTCTTATTTTTTCTCATTTTCTCAAAATTCGACCATCACTCATCATGACTAGTCACTGTCGATAGTTATTAATGGTGATGAGACTCGAAATTTTCATCAAACTCATTTTTTCATCTTCAATGTGAATCAATATTTATTCAATAAAAAATATCTCAAACTCTATAAATCTATCGTTAAACGCTTCAATTTCTTATTTTATTTATCTTTATCATTCAATGTTGAATTACATCGAATATAAAATATGGACTCTTCATTGTCTCCTTTATCCCCACACACATTGTTAAAAAATTGCTCTACCTAAGTATGGGCATGGAACTCGAATCCGACGGACTCTGACTCTACCATATGGGGATTTTTTTTAAAAAAATTCGGGTTTGAGTATGGTCGGGTTTTTTTTAATATGATGTTCGGGTCGAGTCGGGTTCGAGTTTAGGGTGAAAAATACTCGACCGATCCAACCCGAAAAAATATATAATTTTACCTTATATATTTAGTAATAATTACAATAATACCCTTCTCTATATATTTTTTTATTATTTCGGGTTGAGTCAAATCGAATTTTTAAGTTATATATCAGGTCGAGTCGGGTGAAAAATTGTTTTGGTCGAGTAGAGTCGGGTCTCGGATGGAGGACTCCTTATTCTCGGGTCGAATCGAGTGGACAAAAAACTTGACTCAACCCGACCCATGCTCATCCCTAGCTCTATCTCTCAATTCACACCCACTTTTTTAAAATAATATATTATATTCAAAACTAATCAATGCAAAGTTCATTAAACAATTTAGATTTAATTATTCATAAAAATTATGATGAATTATGCACTTGGTACCTAAATTATCAGTTTTGATCCATTTTAGTATCTAAACTTTTAATTTTTTCAAAACAATACTTAATGTTTAATTTTTATTTCATTTTAGTACCCACTATTAAAAACTTAATGCATTAAGTACTTAAACTGATAGTTTAGGTACTAAGCATGTAATTTACCCTAAAACTAAACATGATAAATGGCTATTAAATGCAAAATAACGATGAACTATTAATATATATTAATAATTTCTGACACAATTTTTTTTTATTAATCTAGGATTCTTATAAGTGCTGATATATGTTTTAAACACTCTCAATTATTTGAAAATGAATGTTCAAATATCCTGGAATCTCTAGTGTTCGAACATGATATCTCTAAATAAAATAATCATTCTTTTTTTGGTACAATAACAATCATTTCTTAAATCACTAAATTAACTTAATGCTAGTTAAACATAATTAAATATTAATAATTTTAATATGTTAATTATTTAAATATAAAATATGCCCAAGCTTGAAATTCCATGTGATCCCCTTGTATATAGGGATGGAAACAGGTCTGGTTAGGATCGAGTTTTCGGTCAAACCGACCTGATCCGAAAATATGTATCATCCATCCGAATGCAATCTAATCTGAAAATTTTTTAACCTCCTCCTGACTCGAAAAATATATACTCTTCACCTGAATTTGACCTGACCCGATAAAAAAATTAAGATTTAATTAAAAATAATAATAAGTTTTAAAGAAAATTTCATTATTATCCTCATGTTGGGTCGGGTCGAAATATTTTCACTCTCCATACAAACTTGACTTAGCCCCTTAAAAAATTCGATCCGACCTAACCCGAGCCAATTTTCTCTTAAGAAAAGTTAATGGGTTCGGTAGGTCAGAATCATCAGATTCGGATTAAATTTTCATCCCTACTTGTACATTTCTTTTAAAACTTTAATTAGAAAAAAATGCGTGTTCTTTACAAAGCCCAAAGCCCAGTTTCTTTCTTTCTCGGTTTCAGGCCCAATGTCATTCCTTTTAAAAGTTTCTTCCTTTCCACCAACAAATCCGAATAATCCAGATCAGAAACCAAAGTTTCCCCACGAAATCTCTCTACTTTCCCCCCTCGATGGACTCTCTCCAAGCCACTTATAAAGACGATTACAACGAAGAAACAGCCCCCCAACCATCTCCGGTCACCGGCGAACCTCTAAAAGACACTCTTCTCCAAGCCGACGCCGAGCCCATTAAGGAAACCGAAACCCCAAACGGCATCAGCGCTACCAAGCCCGAAACCACCCAGCCTGCGGTGGCTTCATCGGATTCTCTCTCTGAAGAAGATCCTACCACCACCACCACGACTGCTTCCGACGACACCCAAAATCCACTTAAAGTTCCTCGAAACTACGACGAATTCGAGAATGACGAAGAAGAACCCCAACCCAAAAAGCAAAAGCAGCTATCGTCTTTAACAGCTGCTCCTCAGTACTCACATTCAGTCCCCGCAATCAGCGATGATAACCCCACCAACGTTGTCGTCGAAAACAGTAATAACAACGGCAATGCCCCGTCAAATCCTTCCCCTTCTACAAAAGCGAAGGCAACAAAGAAGTCTAAGAAGAAAAACAATAATGTTTGGGTGACTAAAACGTCGAGGAAAGGGAAAAAGAAGAGCAAAGTGAATAGCCAGAATGCTGGGAATGGGGAGGAACCGGTTTTGATCGCTCCTGTTCCGAGATTCCCTGATAAAGGGGACGATACCCCTGATATGAAAATATGTCTTTCCAAGGTTTATAAAGCCGAAAAAGTGGAGTTAACTGAGGATAGGATGAGTGCAGGTAGCACGAAGGGGTATAGAATGGTTAGAGCTACGAGAGGGGTGGTGGAGGGAGCTTGGTACTTTGAAATCAAGTTGGTGAAGTTGGGGGAGACCGGGCATACGCGGCTCGGGTGGTCTACCGATAAAGGGGACTTGCAGGCGCCGGTCGGGTACGATGGCAATAGCTTTGGATATAGAGATATTGATGGGAGTAAGGTGCATAAAGCTTTGCGAGAGAAGTATGGAGAAGAAGGGTATAAAGAAGGGGATGTTATAGGGTTTTATATAAATTTACCTGAAGGAGGGTCTTACGCTCCCAAGCCCCCTCATTTGGTTTGGTATAAAGGGCAGAGGTATGTGCAGGCCCCCGATGCAAAAGAGGAGCCACCTAAAGTGATTCCTGGTGAGTTTCTACTGCTATTCTGATTAAAGCTTATTCTTTGTGCACTGGATTTGAATGAACTAAATTGGATATGATTGCTGGTTTTATGCTTATTTCTTTATGTTTTCGGTTAATAACGTCTTTATGCTTATTTCTACTGCTATGTATTCTCTAGTTTGGTAATATCTCAGAGAAGAAAGCGCCATGTACTTATGTGGGTGATGTTTAATAAAAATAAATCAAACACGCTGCATCTTCTAGGATGGTACTTTCAAATTTGATGTTTTAAAGAGGTCAGAAAATAACGTGTTCCCAGCCACACTATGCTTTTGTGCATTCATTAAATTTTGCTCTTTTTCATTGATTGTCTTTATGGTTTTGAATCAATTTCTTTCTAATTTTCTTTCAAGCTGGAACTATTTTGGTTGCCTTAAAATCGGATAGTTTTGAGAGTAGTAACTAATATGATCAACGACAACTGGAGTATGCTAACGATTTAAGATATATTCTTTTAATCAATTTTATAAATTAGTGCAAGGACTATCAAAAATCATTACATGCTTGTGGTATAGGGCTGTTATAAAAGTGCTTTATTTGAAAGGATTTATTGGTAATGGTGGTTACCGTCCAGAGTTTCTTTTATTCTGCGTGACAGTTCTTGGTTATGGTGCTGTTGATTTCTTAAAGTGTCCAAGGAGGAGATGGATGATTAGATAATAAAGCAGTTACATTGAATTGTTAAAATTCGGTTAAACCTTACCCATCATGCTCAAATTCTTCTAATAATGCTAGTCTTCCCTCATTCCCAGTGTTTCACTAGTTCTTTCTGTAACTCTCATGGTTTTAAAATAGACTGTTTACAATATGCTTTGATGATGTTCTCATTAAACTATTTTCATGACCAAACTGTAGGCCTTTGCTTATCATGAAAAGATATTGCAAGCCACGGGTCCTTTAAGCAGTACCCTGAGAAGTGACATAGTAAAGCTTTCTACAGTGCAAATTTCATGGCTTGTATTTATATGATTCTGTTGGACTTTGCAGTACCCACCATCGCTTAAATTTTGTGGAAAAGTTGTATAAAATTATCTTGTTAGAACACAATGAACCCTGAGATTTGGACAGTTAGTTAGGCCCTTATTAAATGAAAAAGATATAGCAAGATACGAGTCCTTTTAGTGTGCTTCTGAGTAGTGACATATAGAACCTTTGGACAATGCAATTTTACAGCTTGCATTTTTATAATTCAGTTGGCTTTGCAGTATCTAACGCAAAAATAAACAATGTGTTAGATTTGAACAAAAGTTTCTGATTAGAATACATTCAACTCTGTTGCATGATTTTGGTCAAATATTTCGATTCTGGCTTCTCTATGGTCATTGCTTGAGTGATAATTTCTCTCTTTTTGGCCGGCATATCATAATGGGTAAAACTTAGAACTCTAATTATAAAGTCTACCTACCCAGAAGCTACCTGGGCCTATCTGATTGGATGTGCTATGTTTTGCCGGTTAAACCTGTTCACGGTAATATCTAAAGCATTTATAAAAAATGGATTGTTTGTTCAAACCTGGCTGTTTAGACAGGCCATTGGAAAGGCTTTAAAGTAGACTAGCTGTGAATCCTAGTCATGCATTATTATCAACTAATTGCCATTGAAATGACTATATATTCTGTGTTTGATGAGGACTTTGTTTAGAATATTTACAATTAGCTGGAAATACTGCTTTTCATGTAATATTCTTGATTTTCCATAATTAATGTTGATAAATGTTGACTTTCCTGCAGGAAGTGAAATTTCTTTTTTCAAAAATGGTGTATGCCAAGGAGTTGCTTTCAAGGATTTGTTTGGCGGTCGTTACTATCCTGCTGCTTCAATGTACACCCTTCCAAATCAACCAAACTGTGTGGTGAAGTTCAACTTCGGCCCCAACTTTGAATGCTACCCGGAGGAATTTGGTGGACGTCCACTTCCTAGACCCATGGTTGAAGTTCCTTATCATGGGTTTGACAACCAAGTGGAAAACGGTGTAGCCAATGAGAAGAAACAGTAGTGAGCTTGAATCAGAGACTAACATCATTCTAAAATACCTACTAATTTGAAGGACTGTTTTATATTTGTAATTTTAATTATTTACTCTTGAAATTAGGTCTGCTGAGTTGATTGATTAGTTCTGTAAACTCTGACTTGTCTTTAAAGACGAGAGAAAGTTCGGTTTCCGAATACATGATCAATTTCTTAGATGTCATTTATTTTACTTTTGTCTCGTGTGTATATCTTGATATGATTCTTTAATTATTTTGAATGCTCTTTTTGTGATTTAGTTCCTTCCGCAGACCGCTTGAATGTATTGTGGTAATCTTAATTTTGCAGTTTCTACTTCATTCAGACAGGACCAGTAAAATCTCAGATATCATAGCTTGTATCTGCAACTGACTTCTTTTTGGCTTGCATTTTCAATTATAGTTTCTCAATCAGACCTGATTCACTTCGCCTTTTTCCTGTTAATAGAATGTAAGTTCTGTGTTCCGATTCTTTAAACTGAGTTAAGAAGATAGTTTGCAGCCGGAGACATAACACAGGTCTTAACAAATTGAAATGGTAACAATTATTTAGTGAAGTGGATTCCCCTTCCCTGTAAAACATTGAACTCTAACCTTTGGCTTTTACTTGTAAACCTTCTGCAGCCTGCAGGTGGTGGGAGGATAGAAGGAATTCATGGGAATTGCACTACTTATTGGAACAGTCCCCTTGCAGGTAAATTCTGATTCCAAATTAAATAGGAAAATGGTGTAAATTCCACTGGCATCAAGGAAAATGATCAAGTTGGTTGATATGGTAAAGGGTGCAAAAGCAGTAAATCAACAAAAAAAAATTGGATTATTCAATTTTATTACCCAAAGAAGCATAAATGCTACAAAAAAAAAATCACCGATCACCTAAGATATTTACATACTAATTACAAAAAATCGATCGGTTTAATCAATACCCCATGATATACAAAGTTTGGAGTTAACATAGTCAAGCTTGTTGATATTTCCCCCCCCCCCTCAATTTAATTCCTACTAATTCTTTGATACCACTAAAGATTTCAGCTGAATTCCGAGAGCAACCTTTGAAAATTTTACGGTTGCGTTCCTCCCACAAAACATAAATGTTGGCGCTCCAAGCGATTTTAAGGATAGTGGTTAAGAGTGACTTGCCTTTCCAAGAGTTACTTGGCCAAGCAACCATGTCTTCCCAGGATTGTAAAGTCTTCTTTAATCCACTAAGGTGTAGAATATTCTCTCTTAAATGAGATGTGAATTGGCATTCGAAGAACAAATGGTTTCGACTTTCCTGAATGTCGTTACAAAAAACACAAGTCCCAGAAGAAGTGATCCCCATACGTTGTAAGCGGTCACGAGTGGGAAGCCTATCTAAAATTGTCATCCAAGCTATCAAACTATGCTTGGGAATGTGGTGGGAAAACCAAATCAAAGAATGCCAAGGCATTTTGTCCCCCTTGTGTCTAATCTCCTGCCAAATTTTTTGATAGAAAGAGTTCCATTCAAGAGAATCGGATGAGCTTCTGTTCTGAGCTTGAAAATTTTGTTGAGACTCCAGCTAGTGTTTGCACTTCCTTCCATAAGCCAAAAATCAGTCTCCTTTAGAACATAAACATTTATCCAAACAACCCATAATGAACCCTCACCTGCAAGTATATTTTTAATGAGATGAATCATACATGCTCTGTTCCAGTCTTTAAGATTTTTCAATCCAAGTCCTCCCTCTGATTTCAGTTTGCAAATGTTATACCAGCTGACTCTCGTGCCTGATGCAGATTTATCAGTGCATTTCCAGAAGAAATGAGAGCAAAGCTGTTCAATTTTGCTGATTATAGAATAAGGAAGCAGTAATTGTCTGCACCAACAATTAACAATGCTGAACATCACTGCTATAATAAGTTCCAGTCTTCCTGCGTAGCTCAGAAATTTTCCAGACCAGAGAGTGAGCCTGGATTTGATACTGGTGATGAGAGGCTCACAGTCTTTTTCTGTGAGCTTTCTTGTAACTAGTGGGACTCCAAGGTATTTAACAGGCAGAAGACCAAGTTAAAAACCAGTAGCTTGCTTGATGAGCTCAATGTTGTTTGATGAAATACCAACACAGAAGAAATAGCATTTAGAAGCATTTAGATTAAGACCAGAAATTCCATAGAAGTGCTCAAGAACAGAAATGACACCTACAACAGAATTCATATTTCCATTGCAGAAGATCAGAAGGTCATCAACAAAGGATAAGTGGGTGAGACCTATTCTTTTTGCATTTAGGATGAAAGTTAAACAAGCCTTTTTCAGCAGCAATATTGAGCATTCTTGAAAGGACATTCATAGAAATAACAAAGAGAATAGGGGAAAGGGGATCTCCTTGTCTTATGCCTCTAGCTCCCTTAAAATATCCAATCAAGGTACAATTAAAAGAAATTGAGAATCTTGCATCAGTAAAACATGCTTCAACCCAATTTATGAACTTAAGAGGGAGATTTAAAGCTCTTAGCACAGAAGAGATGAATCCCCAACGGAGAGTATCAAAAGCTTTTTGAAGGTCAATCTTCAATAAGTATCTTGGTGAAATGGTTTTCCTACCATATCCTTTGACCAATTCTTGAGCAAGAAGAGTGTTGTCCACAATACTCCTTTATTTTATGAAAGCAGTTTAATTGAGAGATATTAAATCAGGAATAAAGCAAGTAAGTATCTGGACTAAGATCTTTGTGATAGCCTTATAAATAACAGTACAACAAGATATTGGTCTGAAGTCCTTGACTTTGCTGGGATTGGGAATTTTAGGAATCAAAGCCATGGTGGTTGCATTAAAAACAGGGAGCAAAGATGACTGTTGGAAAAAATATTTGATTGCTGCCACAACATCCTCACCAATAATATGCCAAGAAGATTTGAAAAATAGAGGAGTATATCCATCTGGGTCAGGGGCTTTGTCATTGCCCTGGCCAAAGATGGCTTATTCGATTTCTTGAGTGGTGACTTATTTGATAAGGCTAGATGAAATGTTAGAAGGAAAGGAGCAGTTTAGAATATCAGTCAAGAATTGGGGATCAGAGGCATTGACCTTAGGATCAGCTATCCCAATAAGGTTGGTAACGAAATATAACACTTCTGATGACATGGCATCAAAGGACTCAAGTCTATTTCCCTGGTCATCAATAAGCAGCCAAATTGTTTCCTTCTTTTTCTTAGCAGCAACATCAGAATGAAAAAATTTGGAGCATTTATCACATTCTTTAATCCATTGCACCTTGGCTTTTTGTTTCAAAAAAACTAACTCAGCTTCTTCTAAATTATGCAGTTCTTTTTTTGGATATGAAGCTCTTTGTCAATTGAATTTTCTCCCTTCAAAGAGAGAAGTTGCTGATGTTTCAATTCTAATCTCTTATTTTTAACCCGAGAAGAGATGTCACAAAAACAGGAAGAGTTAAGTTTCTTTAGGCAGGATTTGAGATGCTTAAGTTTAAGGAACAAAATCTTCATAGGATTTCCTTGAAAGGAATTTTGCCAAGAATGCTCAACCTCTCTCAAAAAGTTAGGATGAAAGGTCCAGAAATTAAAAAATTTAAAAGGTTTGGGTCTATTTGTGGGATTGTCTTTAGAAAATCAGACTAATGTCATGCAGTGATCCGAGACTCCAAGGGGAAGAAATTCTACAAAAGAGCTTTGAAAAAAAGTAGCCCAAGTGGAGTTAATAAGAACTCTGTCAAGCTTTCTTACAAGATAAGCTTCAGTTTACTTGTTGCTCCAAGTGAATAAAGATCCAAAGAAAAGATGATCATGAAGGTCAAGATCCTGAGTTAAATCTTGGAAATCTTTCATTTCAGGAGTGGAAAAGGGACAAAGGAGCTCATGGTCTGAGCTTTCATTGGGATGTCGAATGATGTTAAAATCACCTCCAAGAATCTAAGGGAGGTGTCATATGGTTCTTTCCAGTTCTTGAAGTTGCTGCCAAAGCTATCTTCGAGTAATATTATCATTACTTCCATATACCGCTAATAAAACAAAAGACTGACATGTGAATTTTCCTTTTACAAAAATAATCTGGTCAGAGACTTGAATTGTAGTTAACTCTATATTCTTCTTCCAAAGGATCCAAATTCTTCGGTTGTTTGCAAAGTCGTAATTGGAGCTAACATTCCAGTTGACTAATTTAGAGTGAAAGATGTCCTTAGATTTATCTGCTTTAACTCTTGTCTCTAGCAAACAAAGAATGTCCACATTGTTCTGAGTAGCCCTAAGTAGCACATTGTCTTGTTTTAGAGGATGACTGAATCCTCTAATGTTCCAGAAACTAACAATCATTGAGAAAGTGGTTTCAGTGGGGTTTTCTCCTCCCCAACTGTGGAACTTTTAGTTTCATTCAATTTATCTTTCTTATTCTGTTTAAGATCTTTTACTAATTCAACCACTCCCTTGAAGCAATTCTATTTTTTCTTTGAGGACGATCTTGGTTAGGAGGGACTTCATCTATAGAACTGAGTATCTCAAATCTATTACTAGAACCAACAAAAGCAGTCTTATCCTTGGAAGGCCTTCCTCTGCCACGTTTATGTACTAAAGAACCATTTTCAGATTGTGAAGGATGATCAGAAGAAATATGCTGACTTTCAAGAGTTGAATCAGTTTGAAGTTCCTCAAGGTTTTGACAGCTTTGTTCAGTGCCAGAAACATTCACATGATGCTTATCAATAGGATCAGTGATAGGAAAAACATATTCTGAAGGCAAGACAATTTGTTCAGAGTTTGATGGTTCAGAAGAATTAACAGCACCTTTAGGAATTTCCTTTGGAAGTGATTCAGAAGTGACATAGTTTTGAGGAAGTTAAACTTCTCCATGAGTGGAGTTGGAGCTAGAGGCTTCTTTTTTCTTCCAAACTTGATTAGAGGCTGGAATTACATTATGATTGACCAAACAGTTTTTATCATTATGACTAAAGACCTTGCATTTCCTACATCTAGGAGAAAGCCAAGGTATTTCAACATAAACAGAGGTTGACTGACCATTTTGTAGAACAACTTCAATGTCTTTGGGGATTTCATCATTCACATCAATTTCAACACACACCTTAGTGAATTCAAGCCTAGTTTTTGAAGCTGTAACAGAGTCCATTGAGATGGGAATCCCTATACAACTTAAGCCTACTTGAGTGAATAATTCTAGTGGTACATTGTACAGATGAACCCAAATTGGGATTTTAGAAAGATCGAAGTTTAGGCGTTTTAAGCTAGGTTCCCATTTCCTTAAGATCAACGGTTTATTAAGTATATGCCATGGTTCATTTTCTAGGACCCATTCTCTAGTAGAATCAGAAGCAAAAGAGAAGATATAGAGATTGGGTCCTGCTAGACTGACCTGAACCCGAGAGCCTTGAAGAGCCTTTGTCCATAGATTATCAACAATACGTTGCATTGTTGTGAAATTTGGTGTTGGACCAAGGAATTTCCCCACTAGTGATAACTTCCATTCTGAAATTCTAGCTTCCAGTATCTCAACAGGGGGTGATCGTCGGAACTCCATCTTTGAATTTCGAAGGAAAGAAATTTAGGTTATGGCCTGAGGAACTCTCAAATAATTTTCTCCAGTCCATCGATCGTTTTGAAAGAGCTGAGAGAGAGCCAAGGTAGAGGGAGCTAAAGATAAAGTATACCACCAAAGGCTTTGTAACCGAGAACGTGAGAAGAAAAGACCACCGGAGACACGACGAAATCTCGGAATCCGTTAGGCCTGCTAACGTGCACCCAGAGAAAAACCACTATCGTGCGCCCCGAAAAAGTTATAGAGTTAAATCAACAAAATTAGGGTAGTAAAACAAGTACAAAGAAGTTAAAATACTAGAAAATGTAGGGTTATTGACGTGGGAGCTTAATTTCAAAATATTTTATTTTATTATTCTGTTTTTAGTTAAGATATTTTGGAACAATTAGAGTATTAGCTTTCTCGAGGATTTAGGGTAAGAAAAAACTTTTACTTGCAGGAAAAGTAACTTTGTTTACAAAGAAGTCTATTATAGGTAATCTGTAATATATTTGCAGCTCTTTCTATCTTATTATTATCTTTGAAAAAACTTCTCGATGCAATTGGTATCTAAATGAAATTACAATTTCCCATCAGGAAAAAAAATCTTTGAAAACCACTAAGTTTTCTAGAGTGCCATCTTTCATATTCATTATTCAGCCTTAATTGTTTTGGTTGCTGATGTTTTTTTCTTCTTAACCACATCAATATTACAGGTTTCCGTCTTGTTATTAAATGATATGCTTGATCGATTTGCTAGTTTTAAGGTGTTTCCAAAGACAGACTTGAAAAGCAAATACCAACTTAGGTTGAGAGGTGAAGATGAATCGAAGATGACGCGTTCAAGGCTCCTAATGGTCTTTATGAGTGGTTAGCGGTGCCAGTTGGCCTTTCTAATGCGCCGACCACTTTTATGCGGGTTATGAATGAGGTACTTAGGGAGATAAAAGGCCATGAGTTAGTTGCAGATCAACATATTTGACAAAAATTGTACAATGATGTGGAGAAATTGGTGAAAAGGTGTTCATCTTGTCAATTCGATAAGGGAAATGCACAAAATAGGAGGTTATAGACCCCACTACCTATTTCATAGATGCCATGGGCTTATTTGAGCATGTGTTTTGTGTTAAGATTACAAAAGGCAACAAATTATTATGATTCAATCTTTGTTTGTGGTGGATCGTATTTCAAAGACGGCGTTTTCCTTTCCTCGTTCTAGAACTTCTGATGCTATCATTTGAGTTGCTTTTAAAGGAATTGACGATGCTACATAATGTTTTTTCATCTCATGTTTTCAATAATGATGTCAAATTTCTAGGATTTCTTTTAAGGACTTTGTGGAAGAAAATGAGAACCTAATTGAAATTTTCTAGCCCAAACATATAGGCAAACAAATGCTGTTAATCAAAGCTTTGGTAATATGCTACGATATCTTTTAACCATTGAGGTCGCTCGGTTTATGCTCTTAAACATCATGCTTGAACTTGAAACTTCTATGGATAGCAACTATTCTTTTAACCGTTGAAGTCACTCGGTTTGTGTTCTTTTGTGGATGATTGGATAGGCAGGTTTTCAAGTTTAAAGCAATTCAACTTGTCAATGTCTGTATCGGATATTACCCCCTTATGGCTTAACATATAATTTTGATGACTTATTTGATCGTGACTTTTCATATGACTGCATGTTATTAGGCAACCGACAGATTCTTTTAGATATTACACGAGACAATCAAAGTTGTAGAGAAGAGTCAACGAAGCCAATAGGCTCCATCAAAAATGCATATCTGACTTCCTGCGTATGGCACATAGCAAAAAGTGCAAAAAATTCTGAAGATCTGAATATTAAAATAGTAAAATTACATTAAAGAAGTAATTAATTAGGATCTTCTATGGCTGCATCTATAAATTTTCCCTTGTTCTCCATAATGACCAAGTTACTACTGGTTTTGTTTCTGTCTAACATCAACACCGGTAGATGTAGGGTGCCGCTTGATCTTTCTTAATGCTCTTTCTGTGTTAAAGGCTTCAACCTAAAAACAACAAAAGTTTTACGGGGCCAATGGGTGAAGTTATTTGAACAACAAGCAACTTCACAAGCATAAATAAATAATTCTGGAAATTCTACAATGATAAATGAGAAAGACATAATACCCAGTCTATGTTCTGATACACATAATATCACAAAATGTCATATAGCTGCTTGTTAATAGCTAAACTTTAAGAAGTGAAACAGCTTCATTCTAGGTTGAATACCGGTAGAAGCTTTGCTAGAAAAGTAGGATTTGGTTTAACCAAATAATACGAGCCTGCCTTGTTTGGCTTTCGAATTAGTTAGGAAACATAAAAGGTTCTTAATTTTCTATTTAGAACACAGACAGCAAATAAGACATGTAAAACAAAGTTCTCTACTTTCAATTGCTAACCAAGTCCCCTCAAGTTTTGCACTTTCGGGCAACCAATCATAATTTCAAATATCCCAAACATAGATTTGTATGAATTATTAAGGTGACGAGACGAAAAGTTAAATAGCAAAGAAGACAGGTGAGTTTCGGAAAACAGTTTTGAAGAAAACAATCTTACTGCGTCTTTTATTTGCTTTGTTATACTCGCAGCCTTCGATGTAGCAAGTTGCAAGCATTTCATGATAACTCTTTGGGGGACACCTTCTCCACCGCCTTTTTGAATTGCACAAATATCACCATTTGCATTAACTGTCATAGTCATTCTTCCGCCCATAACAGCTTCCTCATTGTGAGTTGGATCTATTAGCTGAATTCATCTCATTTAAGGAGAGCAAAACTTTAGTTGTGAACCAGAAAAGTTACTAAAATGTTCTAAAATATCCTGATGAAAAATTTACTCACCAAGATGCCCTCGTTACCAAAAAATCCGAAGGTTATTGCAATTGGCAGGTGATGCACTGTCAAAGGAAGAGGCTCCCTTATCTGTCAAAATAGTAGATATTTCAATACCATAACCGGGCATTCAAATGATTTGGAATGAGAAGAATTTTCATGGGAGAGAAGAGGAAGAAGATGACAAGATAGAAGTGACATGATTAAAGTGCCATTTAAGCTCTCACTAGTTTCAAAAGAAGGTCAAAGAGATAAAGCAAGATGAATGTACCATAACAGAAGTACAGAACAATGATCCATGTCTTAAGTCGTGAATAAGTTAACAAAATTATGAGCATTGCATTAGTTATACTCTTTCCCTCTTTTACTTTATTTTAAACCTCTCCATCTTTAAGATGCTTCGAAGCTAATCAAATGGAAAATCTTAAAAGACGATCCTCTCTCTGTTTCTCTAATTATTAAACAAACTAAACAAAGGAAACTTTAATTATTCTCTCAGGCCAACCGCAGTGTCGGATACCAATATCTGGACAAGGGTATATGGATATGACTCTTCAAGGACCCTCCAAATACATGAAAAACATGAAACAATGAACATACCATGTCAAACATGTACTCATACAAAAACCCGTCACTTGCACTGAATCCCAAGAAACATAGTAAAATACAGGTTATAAAACTCACTAGATTCTTCCCAGTTCCCATCCTCACAGTGAAGTTATTCTGAGAAGCAAAGTAATATCTACAAAAATAAAACACTGTTCTTAAAATCCAAGAGTTAAGAATCTGACCTCGGGTGGATGTACAATTACTTCCTGACCATCTTCTCCTCCTAATGAGCATTCAGGCCTCAGGTATGTCAGTAAAGCAGCCAAAGCAGCAATATTAGCAGCATCAACAAGGTTTCTGTTTCCAGAAAATATATTAATTGGAACTGAATATGAACATCTAATATTAGCAGAGAAACAAAATCGAAAAAGATTGCAATAGTACCCTCCATTGTCTAGAATGTGGAGATCAATCCGAATAGCCCACACATACTTGCCAGCTAGAATACACAGTGATTCAGTATCCACAGCCCTGCTTTCCCTGTAAGATAACTATAAACCTTCAACTACCTTTATTTTTTTTATAGGAATAGTAGGTCACATTAAAACCTCCTTCTTAGTAGTCCTTTACCATGAGGTTAGAACCGACTAAAGGAAGGAGGAAAAGAGTACCTGAATATATTGATTATAAATAGATTACATAAGACTTAAACCACTCCTTGTAGATACATAAAACTTCAACACACTCTAATAACACCCTTGGTATAAAACCTCCGAACTCAGTACAACAAAATGAACCACTACCCAATCCCCTCCTTTGCAAGCAAATCTACCTCGCAATTACAGCTTCTCGGAATCCACCTCACAATGACCTCATTCTCAGAAACAGTAGCCGCAATATCCTTAACAAAATTTAAAAGAAAAGGTGGAACCGACTCCTGATATTTCAACCAATCCACGGCTAACTTGCAATCACTTTCAATAATGAACCTTCCCTTCATTACCCATTCTGATGACAGAAAGATGTCTAAGCCTCTTTTGATAGCTTTCAACTCTGCTAAAATGATTGGAGTAGGACCTATTTTTTTCTGAAAACGACATAAGCTTAATCTGATTCCAATCTCTGAGAATTCCCCCAATTCCAGCTAACATCCCAACACTACTCACAGCACCATCCACGTTAAACATAAAAACATCGCCTGGAGGAGGACTCCAGCTAACCACAGGCCTGTTCAAATCCATAGAAGCTAAAATTTTATGAGCCAATGAAGGATCCCCAATTAAAGAATCCACTTGAATAGAGAGTAGAGGATACTTAGCTAGGAATCATTTCGCTTACCTTAACCTAACTGTGAAAAACAGTGAGGATGTGTCCAGCTTACCTCTTTCAAAAATAATTTCATTTCTCATCTTCCAAATTGACCAAAAAACAGCCCCCAGAATAAACTTGCACATATCTGAATAAGGCCTCAAAACAGACCATGAATTTAGAAGTGAAGAAGGATCAGCAGGTAAGGCCAACCAGTTCAACTACCTTTATTTGAATAAGACAACGCAGATACAAACCAGAATCTAAGTTCCACCACATCCCTGAAAAGCTTAGTAGAAGATTGCATCAATAGCACATCAGCATTCATAAAAGCAAAGGCATGCTCATTAGGTGAGATATAATATTTTATAGAACAAGAAAATATTACTGAAGAATTATTATTCGCTACAACTATAAGCCAAATACATTAAAAAAAAAAGACAATGCTGGAAAAGTAAGTTTCAATAAAATCTTTTAAATTTAACAGTACCTTAGACCACGATCAATTATACGTCCCAACTCCACAGCCAATTCTCCAGGACGACCTGGCTCAAAAGAAGGATCAGCCATTGGAGAAAATTCTGTGAAGATTGAAAGCGTCCCTTCCTTAGGCCGATCTTTATAAGGCTGAATCAATTGAGCAGTAACAATGCCCATAACACGAGTCTGGCCTATCTGCACCTCCGATGATCCATCCCCTCTGTAAGTCACCATAGTAATTAAACACCGACATTAACCAACAATATCCACCAAACAAGCTATTCACATTTCGCAGTAAATGATATCATTTGATATTGCAAAAAGCAAAAAAATAAAAATAAAAAATAAAAAAATGTATGCATCTAATCGCTTCAACTAGAAGAATGGAATCAATCAAGGTGTATTCCTTTGTGTATGAAAACAAATATCACACGAGAAAATATTACCAGAATATGGAAAACATTTCTCAAACCAAGATTCTCATAAACATGAATGCTTGCATACACATATAAATACCCCAAGTTTCACGATAAGCAATTTTAAACCATAAGCTGAAACAGAGTAATTATGGACTGAAACGCTGGGAACTTGCTACTGTAGATATCCAAATGCATAAGAGTTGGTTCTTTGTTAGATGCACTGAAGAATGGTGCTTCAACTTACCTGTCAAACTTGATTGAAATCTTACGGTATTCAAAGGGCTTTCGGCCATCGATTCGAATTTCAGAAAGCAGAGCAGTTTTGATGAAATTCTTATCGTTCACTGTCAACCGCCACGCATTCGAAATCCTGCCCTCCATTGCCTCTCAGTTTCTCTGCAAAATTGCGCCGAAAGATTAATGCTTTTGCGAATATATTTCATCAAACAGTTTCAACCTTCTACTTGAACTAAACTATGTAATTTTGAACAGAATAAAATTTGAAACTTCAAGGTTTTCATAAAATCCTGTTGTCTTCTAACTGAAAGGCTGAATTTTGGATATAGAAATAAGAAGCATTGAAGAAGAAAAGCCCTAGGGTTTTGTTAGGTTTCTTTACTTATTGCTTTTGAACTTTTATTCCTTTTTGCCACGTGATTTTTTCGGTTAAATTAAAAAAAAAGTTAACAATTTTTTTTTTAAAGTAAGAGGTGACGTTTGGTTCGTTGAAATATTTATGAGAGAATTGTAATCTGTGAAGTGATTGAAATCTTTCAGAAATTGGAATCCAATTTTATATTCTGTTTGATTCGCAAACATGTCAGATGAATTTGATTTCAGTAATGTAAAATGACATAATTGTCCTTCTTGTTTTTTTTACTTTATTTTAGTTTGTTTTACAACATACATGTAGAATATATTATAAAAAATTAAAAAATATTAAATTTTTATTTTATTGATTGATTATTAATTTCAATAAATTATAAAATCATGCTAATAAACATCATAAGTTAAAATCATCGCAATCAAAATATGTTAATAAGTTACCAAAAGATAGAGCAATATTTCGATACATTCTAATCGAAGTATGTTAATTAGTTACCAAAAAATATATCAAAAACTATTTTTATTCAATATATGAATTAGAAACCCGACCTGACACGATACAAAATAAAAAAAAATATTTTTATTCAATAAAAACATTGACTTAATTGGAAAAAATTATATATAGAGGGGTATTATTGTAATTATTCCTAAATATATAAGATAATTTTTTTTGGGTCGGGTCCGGGTTTTTTCACCCTAAACCCGAACCTGACCTGAATATCACACTTAAAAAATCTGACCCGACTCGACCCAAATATCACACTTAAAAAACCCGACCCAAACAAAATAAAGTTACACCCGACCCGAATATATGAATTAGAAATCCGACCCGACCCGAAATAATAAAAAAATTACTTTTATTCAATAAAAACAGTGACTTAATTGAAAAAAAATTATATATAAAGAGGGTATTATTGTAATTATTCCTAATTATATAAGGTAAAATTATATATATATTCGGGTCGGGTATTTTTCACCCTAAACCTGAACTCGACCCGACCCAAATATCACACTTAAAAAAACCGACCCGACCCGATCAAAATAAAGTTTCACCCGACTCGACCCGAATATATTAATTAGAAACCCGACCCGAAATAATAAAAAAAATAAATTTTTATTCAATATATGAATAAGTTACCAAAAGATTGATGAGGGTAGTATGGTCAAATTTCAATTCCCTCCAACAATGGAATTGAATTCCATTCGTTTTTGGATGGAATTCACTTTCCCTCGTTTGATGGAAAGTTGAAGCCATGAGAGATTCCAATTCCCTTGAAAAACTTGAATCAAACATAGAAAAATGGTGGAATTGGATTTCAATTCCCCCCAATTTCAAGGAATTCATACCAACCAAAAACCACCAGAGAGAATCAAAATAGAATTAAATTTAAGATAAATAAATTTCAATATGAATTAAAATTATTTATATAATTTTCTTTATATATTTAACAATAATTATAATAATACTGTTATTTATATCTTTTCAATTATCTTTTTATCTTATTAAATTAAAAGGTAAGCATATAATTGATTTTTAAGAGGGACAAAAAGTAATCATTTTTCACTTCATTAAGGATTAAAAAAAGACTTAAATTACGAACAATCAGTTGGTCTGAGGTACTAGGTCCCTTAAGTTAAGTTAATTGTTTGAATCTTGACATTTGCGAATAAAACAAACTGGATTAGAAGAGTCGTCTTCGCCTCTGCAATACCCGATCTAGATTAGTCGGAACAAGTTAAATATTTATTTTTGTCAAAGATACCATCTTATAGTTTAATTTATAAATTAATGAATACATGACTTCCTTTTTTATACAAACAACAATTTTCTTAGCTCGAATCAAGTGAGTTTCGTGGTAAATGAATTGTTGTTCTTCCTTAATGATCGGATTCAATCACCATAGATGCTAGGGGTGTGAGCCTTCAATGTCAAACGGTCGAAAAATTATCTTTAAACATATATTATCTTCATTTTCCTAGATGAACAAGAATTCCTTGTTCTTATCGGCTAATGTATCTTCCCTTTCCTAGATGCAACTGGGTGACAACTAACAGCCAATCTGGGCAGAGTTCAAACCTCCATTCGATCAAAGTACAAATAAAGGAGGTTCAGATAAAGTCCGGTACTGTTTCATTCGATGGGCCGTAAGTACGTTAATTCGATGTTGAGAGGCATGGTCAAATTTCATTTCAATGTATAATCAATGTGTCTACCAACAGTTCCTTTATTCATCTGAACTCGATGCAGGAGAGTTTATTTCTGCGCAAAGAATGGCCTGCTGCTAGAACTCAGTGAGGTTGAGCCTCCAAGGTAGAAACCGTTTGCTCTTGAAGTCTTAATGCTCAAATATAATTTCGTTCATTGCTACCATTGATTGTAAACATAGACCAGGTGGGAGAATCATGGCCGACCACCGGGAGCAGATGTCGCAGCAATTGCTGATGCAGGAAGAATTAGAACAGAAGTAGTATATACAATAAGGTGCTCTCTCTTTCTCTCCTTAAGTACAGACACGCAATCCAACGTGAAATAGTTCTGCAGGTGACCTTTATGAATATGATAAGAGCTCAAGGCCATCATGGAAGAAGCATCTACAGAGTGAAGAAACAGCAAAAGAGGGTTCTCTAGTACTGTTATGGGGAGCTCGATACATGGCTCGAGTGATCACTGTGTATCCTTGTTTCTCCTAACAAAGGTACTCTGCACAAATAATTCCTACCATATCACCCATACGTGCAAAATAATAACACATTAGAGCGTCAAAAAACATGAACATACCACATACCCTGTTATCCTAAATCCGACTTCATACCTTGTGAACTTCCTTATATATACAGGGAGGTAAACTGGTAGAGAGAAGACTGCATCAAAGGAAATGGAAATGGATAAATCATGGAAGTCCAGAAGATCAACACCTGACATCTATTACTCCACAGCTGGAAGATGAACCGAATGAAAGATTCGTCCCGTTATTTCTCACTACATCCACTGGATCAGTTTTTGAGTATAGAATACCAAACCATTCAGGTAAATCAAGTAGCATCAAAATGTATCCGGTAATTTTATCTTCTTCCCTTTACGAGGTACAGCTCAAGAAAACCAAATTTCAGTAGCATGGGTGAATCATATGCATCCACCAAATACAAAAGCTGCAAGAGGTATTGCAGGACTAAACTATCAACTTGGAAGGACCCTATTTGCATTAGATGATGGTAGACTTGCAGAGTTACATATACCAGGCCTAGGTGGTGAAAATTCAGGGCCAACGCCTCAATTTAACATGCGAAAAAAAAGTATCCTCTTAAGTATGTCTGGTCAATATTAGATGCCCCGGAGACAAGGAAGGATGGAATGCAGAGTATTGTGCAGAAGAACGCAGACCTTCGAATTGCATTGCAGGTATAAAAGATGAAACAAATGATGCAGGAAATACAAGATCGCTGACAAGGAGAAAAAAGGGTAACAAAGCACTAGAAGATTACTTATATCCAGGCACATTCAGGAGTACACTAGTGAAAACGTCAGAAGAATACAGTTTCCCAGATAACTGGACCAACACTAATTTCCAACTGAGGATGATGCAAGCAGGCGAATCATTTTTTATCATCACGGATGAGGGTTTGACATTAGAATATCTTTACGCTGAAAGTGTATGGCTCTGGTTAAGACACGATCATTCGACGCCTATGAGAGGTTCCCTAGGAAACTACAATGGAAGTTTATTTTTTGTTGACATGTATGGAACCTTGCTTATCAGAGAAAGGAGCAGCAACGAGCTAGAGTGGATAAACTGCACTGCAATGAGGAAAGGAACGCAAGTTATCGCAGGCCCTCCTTGGGATGGTATGCCGCGTAAAATGGAAGTCACAGCAGAAGATGCACTCTTCTTTGTGAGCAAAATTGGAAGGCTAATGCAGTTCACGGTAAGATGCAGCACCTAGGCTTCGAAAACTAGTGATACAGATTCTTTGATATGTTCACAAACTGTATCACTAACCAAATCCTAAGGTGTCGTGTAGGTTGCCCTCAGAAAGTTCGAATGGAGAGATTGCCGGAACCCTCCAGAAACCAAACTTGCATGCATAGTAGACCAAGAAATGTTTAGGCAAAATATAGTGTGTGTTGTTGGAAGAAATGGCAGGCCGTACCAGTATAACAAAGTGACAGAGTTGTGGCATGAGCATCACCAATCTCAGCATTTGGTTCTATCCAGGTTGCCCGGAACTGCCATGAGGCCTTCGATGTTTTCACTAACAGGTTCACTTTTCATGCTTTCAGAAGACGGTCGCCTGGTTGAATATCACTGGAATACATCGGATGGTTGGAACTAGGTGGAACATGGCACTCCATGCAAAGATGTTACCTTGGTTGCTCCTCTCGGTCCAAGTTTCAAAGGCGATCAGTTGTTTTCGATAGGTTCAGATGGAAACGTATACCTAAGGTATAAGGACCAATCGACATGGAGATGGAACAACTGTAGTTTCCCATATGGCAGAGACAAAGATAATGAAAATCAAACTGAAATGGAGGAAGCTTGTTCGGGTAACGAACAGACTGATCCGGACGAAAACTGTGACCCCAAGGTTCGTATCCTGCTATTCACCGACCATATCCACTTACATACTCCTGCATGCCAAACTGATTTTAAAATCTCTACAAATATGTACAGATTTCTCCTACAAACCAATCCCATTTTCTGAAGATTCAGCTATATTCAAAATCCGCTTCTTCCATGTCTTAGCTCCACAAGTTCATCTTCTTCCCCGTTAAACCTTATCTTTCCCAAAAAAAAAAGAGAGAAAAAAAACATGACCATCTCTGGTTGTCCAGACTGGTCCTTACCTCCACAAGTTGATCTTCTTCCCCATTAAACCTTATCTTCCCCAAAAAAGACAGGAAATAAAAAACATGACCATCTCTGGTTGTCCAGACTGGTCCTTAGCTTCAACAGATTCTTACACATAAAAACCCAGAAAATCTGTTCTCTTCTTTGCACCATGCAAGAAAGCCCTTCACTTTGTCCCCTTCCCCACCTCAAACCTCCCCTTGTTCCACATCAATTCTTCATGTAACTCCCCATCTGCCATTACTGAACATCCATCATCATCATCGAGCAGCAATGTGCCTGTAACAGGCCTAAACGGATTACTGTATGGGTTATTACAAGACACTCCCAGTGAAAATGTCGCGTATGATTTCTACCAGAAAGCAAAAGAGAACCCAGGGTTCGTACCAGAGAAACAAATGTTGAAGCTTCTGATAAGGTACTTTGTCCAGTCCAAGAAATGGGATTTGATCATGTTTCTATCGCATGATTTCAAGCGTTACAATGTCTTCCCCGATGGTTACACTTGTTCTAGGTTGATTAATACTTGTGTTAAAGCTAGAAAATTCAAGGTCGTCGAGGCTTTGCTTGAAGCGTTTAGATCAGACAAAGAACTCGCCGTCGTTGCGTTTAATTCAGCAATGGTCGGGTACAATAAGTTGCATATGTTTCGAAGCACGATATCCATGTTCGAAACGATTAAATCGAATCGAATTAGTATGGATTCCGAGTCTTATTGCCTGATTATGGAAGCTTATCAGCAAATTGGTGATATAGATAAAGTTTGTTCCTTGTTTGATGAATTCGAAACTAGGAAGTTGATGTTATGATTTAGGATAGAAGAATCTTCTAGAGATTTCATAAATAGAAGAAATAGGTACATAAAACATGCTCATTCATTCATGAGATAATCCCTAAAAGATATGGTATAATTTTATATATAAACAAGTACCCTACAGCTGGCAGTACAACCAAATAACAAAATAACTAACTCCTTGCTGACTCACCCATTCCAACCCTTCCAACCCTCTGCTCAATATTGGGTTTGTTGATACCCAAATCCCACATGTGCCCATAAATATTACTTAATTTGGGTTTAAATCCAATGAAGCCCAACTACACCCTTTACCCAAATAGATATTGGCCCGTTTCTCCTCACCACATGACCCACCTCTCATATCTACTTCAGCCTCAATCTCTTTAGGTAACTTCTCAATCCCTAATCTCTTCTCAATCCCTAATTTCTTTCGATCCTCCCCCAATTGCTGCTGCTTCACTCCTAATTCTCTTCTTCGATATTTCCCCAAATCAATATCTTCAAACCCTAACTCACCTTCCATCGTGACAATACCCCCTCCATCAGATGATCCTTGTCCCCAAGGATCGAAATCGAGAAATTGGTTCTGAAGGACCGAAGCATCTTCCCAAGTTACGTCGTTTAATCCCATATTTATCCACTAGACCAACACTTGAGGAATAGTCTGATTCTGTCGTTTCACTATTATTCTCTTCAGAACAGACGCTGGATAAATTTTTAGTTGACCGTCCGATGCGACTTCTGGAGGATTCATTAAGATAAGTCCATGTTTCCCTATTTTTTTTCTTCAATAAACTAATGTGAAACTCCGGATGTAGTTTAGAATCTGGTGATAATTCCAATTGATATGCAACCTGACCCACCATTTTCTATATTTTGTAGGGACCGAAGTATCGAGCAACAAGTTTTAGATTTTTCCTTAAAGCGAGGGATGTTTGACGATATGGCTGAAGCTTCAGGTAAACTTCATCCCCTACCTGAAATTCTCTGGTTGTTCTATGTTGATCTGTAATTTGCTTCATTCTATTACTAGCTTTAAGTAATTGCTCCCTTAGCAATGAATTTAATTGCTCTCTCTGTTGCATGACATCATGTACTGCATCCACTCTAGAATATGCTGACCATGTTACATTAGGGGCTTGATAACCATATAAAGCTTTGAATGGTGTCATTCGAAGGGAAGTGTGGTAATTAGTATTGTACCACCACTCTGTCTGAGCTAGCCATTTTGACCAAGTCTTTGGCTTTAAAAAACACATGCACCTCAAATATTGTTCAAGACATTGATTGAGCCTCTCAGTTTGGCCATTTGTCTCAGGGTGATAGGCAGTACTGAATAATGTAGTGGTACCCAACTGCTTCATTAATTCTTGCCAAAATAAACTAGTAAAAGATTTGTCTCTATCAGAAATAGCTACCTTAGGAGGACCATGTAATTTATAGACTTGATCAAGGTAGACCTTATGATAACTCCGTAAAAAGGTCATAATTGAGACCTTTTCACTTAAGTTGTTGACTGTCTAAGAGCTCATATAGGATCATATAGACACATTTAGGAGCATATAGTTGCATGTGATGAAATTCTGTTTGCCGCAGCATTTTATTTTGTAATCAGTGCTGCTTTATGGGGAAGGTGTTTATCTGGTGATGTGCAGGATTTGGGAGTAAGGAAAAGCAAAAGGGGTTTGTTGAATATAAGTGAGCCTCCCAAGCCATCTTAAGAATAAAAATTCAGGGACCAAAATAGTAATTTTTCCAAAAATAATTTTTATTCCACAAATAGATAGTTTACACTTGAGAGTGGGGTTTTATGGAAATTAGATTCTTGATCCAAAATTTGTTTTAAAAACTAGAAGATGTTAAAGTCCGATAAAAATTCGGTAAATCAGATCAAATAGAAATTTTGAGAAAATTTGAAGGCTGATAAATTAGGCTTAAAAATATTATTTCCGCATTTTAAAATTATGGAAAATAATGTGGATCATTGGTTTTGAGAAATTATTTTCATGTTCAATTTGGACCGTTGGATTAAAATGATGAGATTGAAATTTTTGGAAATTTCCATGATTCAAATGGTAAAGGGTTAATTATTTTGTTCATATTTGACTTTATAAAGATGAGAAGGGTTACGTGGCTTGGTATGAATGTAAATATAAGGATTCATTAATGGTAAAATTCTCATTCCCAATTAAATGAATTTAATATTCATTTAAGCTAAATAAATGATAAATTAAAATGAAATTAAGCTAAAATTTCATGAAACTTGTTCATCTTCAACCTCTTGAAGTCGTGAGCCTTATACCAAGGTAAGAGAATTTTTGTTTTTTTTTTAATTTTCAAACAATTTCCTTCGAATTTTGGATTAAGACGTGAAATAGAAAATTGTTCTATTCGAAAAACGCTATCATTTGGTATCAATATTGCATGCTAATCTTGCTTGAGTTCAAATATCTCAAATTCTAGGGTTTATGTTCATATTAGGGTTTATGAAATTGATTATGGATTTTGAGGTTGTAGATTCATTTTCAAGCTTGTTTGATGATTAAAACATGCTCAAACCTCCTAGAAATGCTTCCTTAACTTTCGGCCTAACCCTAAGATTAGAGAAAATTTATGTTTTGATGAAATTTGATTAGGGCTTTTGTAACACCCCAACCCATACCTGATCCGGATACGAGTCCAAGATGTCACATTAACTTTTAAAAATGATATTCTTATAAAATATCAAAACATTTGAACTCTTTTTAAGAAAATACCACAATATTCTATTAAATTATGTTTCAATATAAGAATCCAAGTCAAAAACGTATTTATAAACAATAAAATATAGTATGAACCGTAATGAACAATACCGTGAACAATACTGAATTCTAAAAATTTTCCAGAATGTCAGAGGGGAACCGATTCCCCTACTACAGGGAACCGATACCCTGCTACAGTACTTCCGTAAAACATATACAAACTCTTAAAATTTAACCTTTCATCGCTATACAAAATTACCATTTACATATATACATTTAAAACATTACAAAACTCAATCATATGATTTTGTAAAACTATTTATAACATATCGGAGTCAAATCTTTATATACATGCCAACCAATATCAATATTACAAAACACATATTATTCAATTCTTTTATGATCTGATCTTTGGAAAGGAGAAACTGATCTGTCTTGCATAACTCTTATCAATCTTCCTCTTCTCAAAACCTATGCGTGAAAGAATCACACGCTAAGTCATTGACTTAGTGAGGCATATAAAACATATAATAGAAATCATAGAACATTTCACATAACAGAATGTATACATGTACACTTACCATCATTATCATAATCTCTATTTATCATATGATTTTGTACTTATCATTTTTGTATATCATATAATACACATAACATCATGTAATTCATATAATTCATTTCATATCACCACAAGCATATGCATCTTATATATTGTATATGTCATTGTCTCTTTATTAGCCCATGTACATTACTGAGAAATTAAGGTATGTGAGTACAATGTGGTTGTGCACAACTATGATGTCACCACAGCTCGTATAAATTGCACCGAAGTGCCACGTAGAATTTGCACCGAAGTGCCGTGTAGAAATGCACCGTAGTGTCATATAAGATTTGTCCATAAGGACCTCATAGAAATTCATTAAGAATCATATACATATACCAATGATCAAGTAAGTGTCTCAAAAGACCACATACATGTTCCAAAGAATACATATATGTCCCGAAGGACCACGTAGAAGTTTTCCCGAATGACTGCGTAGACCCTCGACTCTTGGCATGCCAACTATACCTCTAGATCTCATGGCACATAACATGGACATTATCTTTCATATTTATCACATATTCATATCGTCACATAGTTCACTTACACGTAGAACATTTTCATATGATTCATATTCATATGTCACATGCTTATACTTTGTTCTTATGCCTTCTCATAGACATATATTCTTTCTCACATAATCACATAGGTCCATATCATATAACATATATCATTTCTCATTTTCCATGTATGTATGTCATATCTTGTTCACATATGTTCATATATACCTCACATAACTCATCACATAGGCATGTATTCTCATATATTCATATAACGTGGATCGAATATACATATATTCCCATATACATGTCCTTTCATTATCCTTATTATTTTATCATCCCCATTAACCCCTTTTACTTACTATATTCATATCAAATAACACATATATCACAACACCAAGGAACAAACATGTCATCATGTAATTTCTATAACATATTTCATATTCTTATATAATCTTATAGATTATTTATATTGTTTCATATAACTTATCACACTAACATATAATTATGCAAATCATGTAACATACATAATAACCTGTTAACACATATAAATTACATAACATTTTAGAAGTTACTTCTTACCATAGTAACTCCGTTACTGGCTCATCGCAAGCCAATATTTGATCAATAACATAAGTACATAATTAAATTGCACTCACCTAGCCTTGCTTTGATTCGATTCTAATTCTTTGATTGTTCCGGAACTTGTTCACGTTCAATGTCTACATAACCATACATTTTAAGATAATTATCAGATATCTACACCTTGTAATTTGATAATAATAGCCTAAACGAATTTAATAGACCCATATTTACTTTTTCCTTTAGGGGGTATCGATTACCCCCATAGGGTATCTGTACCCTCTACATAATCTGTAAATTTTACCCAGAAATTACTGTTCATGCACGAAAATTCACTGTTTCAACTTTAATTCTTCATTTTTCATTCCCTTTCATATTCTTAACTCAAATATACATGCTTAAACTCGTTTATACTCATTTATCACATCTTAAACCTCAAAATTATATTCTCCATATAGAAATCAATAATCATACCAAATTTTCCATGTTATCCAAACTTAATTCTAACACTTCTAACTTCTTATTCTCATAGATGACAAGTCAAATTCATCCTCTAAATTCATTTAAACATTCTTATTCAAAATTTCAC